TGGTTCCTCCACGATCTCGTGCTCGTGGGTGCGTGCTGGAGGTACGCCTGCGGGTAGGTCGTCGGGCATTATATCCTTGTACTGCTCCAAGACCTCCTTTACTGCTGCAGGTAGCTCGGAACTCGGCTTCTCCTCCTCTGCTGCTGCCATGACCAATGCTAAATAACCCGTATTACTCTCGTTCACCGTCCGTTCGAACCGTGCCAGTGTCGTTTCAGGAACATCCCCTGTATCCATCCAGCTTCGCAGCTCCACACGTTTCCCGTTGTTGTAGATGCACGCCTTCCGATTGACCCAGTCGATCTCGGGGTTGAACCACTTCAGGAAATCTCGCCCCAAGATGAAGTCTAATCCCTTGATGTTCGTGATCGGCAACGTCGGCTTCCATCGTAACGCACCTATATGCAGCTGCAGTGATGCTTCGCCGTGGATGGGAAGCTTCGTACCGTCCACCATCGTTGCTGAAAACCGGGTCTTCTCTGCCTTCTCTCCAATTTTCTCCAACGTCCCGCGGTCACACACCGAGTGGGACGCACCGCTGTCCACCAGTGCCTGGAGGCGTCGCCCGTTGCAGATCACCTCGAGGAGTAGTGGTTGCTGCTGCTCCGAGTAACCGTAGATGGTCTCGCTTATAGGATCATAGGGTACGTCGAATAGATCATCCCTAGGTCCTGCGCTCGAAGCTGCTGACTGTATACCAGTCTTCAATTGAGAAGGGTTGGAAGGATTTATCCGAGGCCGATTCAGCTTCGTCTTGGCCTGGAACCTTCCCCTAAGCCTTTGCAGCTGTGTAGGCTTCTCCTGTGGGCAATGGGGAGCCTTAACACTGTGCTGCGGGGAGAGAAAATTAACTCCTTAGAACGTACGACCCTTATCAACGCTCCGGAGTGGTTTGCCCAACTTCTCAGGTACCTGAATAATCTCTGGGGGCTTGTTCTTAGCCTCTAAATCTCCCCTGAAGGCTCAAAAATCACGAGAAGTAATATTCTTAGTTAAAGTATCTTTATAGGATAACTTTAACGAATTCTTACTTTCGTGGGTGTTCGGCTGGAGTTTCCCGGTCGGTGCAGAGTCTTGTTTCGCGGAGCCTCCATTTGTCTCGGCGATTTCCCCTGGTGCCGGCCGGTCGTGACGTTTTAAATTCGCGCCATCATGTCCTCCTTTTTTCGCCCGCTCCGAAGTCGCCACGTTTGTTGACTTCGTGGGTGCCGCACTGTTGTTGCCATGTAGCGCTGCTCGTGCCTTCTTCATTTTCCAACACGCCAAGAGTCGATGTCTCGTTGCGCCGCAAAGTTCGCATTTTGTCGGCTGCTGCTTCGCGTCGATCTTGTCGATATCCATCAGGTCGGCGGTCGTGGGTGGTGCCGATCGCTTCGTGTCGAATGATCTGTTCGCCACGTGGCGTCGTGTCTCGGGTTGACCTCGCGTCAGCGCATCGAATCTCTCTGCTGCACACACCATGTCGCGGTAGTTGTTGTAGTTCGCAGCAATCACCTGTCGTTATACTTCCGTTTTTAACCCCTCAGTATACGCTTGGATCTTTTCCCCTTCGGTCAGGTCGGTAATTTGAGTGAAGAGGCTCTCCATATGCTGCGTGTACTGTGTTATACTGCCGTACTGCTTATGCCGATGAATCTGCTGCCGCGCCATGTAGCTGGAATTGATCGGTTCGAAATATTGATTAAAGCTGCCCGAAACTGCGTCCATGACCCCTCGCCTCGGATCTCCTTACTGTTGTAAATCCACTCGAGCGCTGGGCCTCGTAACAGTGTTGCTGCGAGCCGAATCCTCATTGCATCGTGTGTCGGGGTCGTACAGCCAACGGCCTCGAAATAAATTTCGAGTGTCGCAATGAATCGACGGACGTCGGCGTCTCTCGCATTCGGATTAAACGCCTCCGGTATCCTCGGACGTGCCGCCTCAAGATTCATTGTGGCTGCTGGTTGGTACAGTGTCGGTGTCGCCGCCGCTGCTGCTGTCGTCACTGCTGCATTCGCTGCTACGTCTGCTGCTGCTATGGCGGCTGCCGACTGGTTCGCGAGGAGCTCCTCTAATCGCTGGAGTGCCGCTCGCATCTGGTCCAGGTCGGTGCGTACAGAGCCTTCCCGAATTCGGTAGAAGGCAATTCGGTGGCAACCGAAAAGCCTAGAATTCGGTGCACTCAACCTAGTTCGGTGCCTATAACTATAATAACTATAGTAAAAGCAACGAACCTAGGAAATGAGGCAAAAGCAAGGAAATCAAATTAATACTAAGCTAGATAATGCATAATAAAGTCCAGGCAAGCTAGCAAAGCCAGCATAAGTCGTCGTACTCTCACAATTGCGAAGCCGCCGACGATGGGAAGTCGGCGGCCGACTTTGAGTGGAGTGGTTTATTGAAGTAACTATAGTATCATAGATGCCATGGTTAGGTTAGGAAGAGTAGCGTGAGAGATTTTGCGAGATTTGGCCAAGTTAAAGAGGACTTAACTATAGGGTGGCAAGCACATATGTGCAAAGAAACAAGAACAATTTGGTACACCATTACACGTTTTAATAAGAATAGCAACAGTAAATATTTGTATAGATAGTCAATAGCAATATATATAAATATATTGTTTGACATGGTCGACTAAGGGGTTTGTCGATCTGCGGGGACGCCGACTTGGTGAAGTCGGCGGATGGTATCAACCTGGGCGATCGACGAGCTCATACATCAGATGGCGGGTTCCTACCGCCCAATTCGGCGCCGACTTGGAGTATGAAGTCGATGTAGTTAGCCGACTTTAATGATGAGCCGACTTGGAGGAAGTCGGCGGCTGCGGAGCCGACTTTGGCGAAGCCGGCCGTGACGTTGGTCACGATGCGAAGTTGGTGGCCAACAAAGGTGTTCATTGACATGACGCCGACTTGGCACCTGCGTGTTGTACGTGACCGTGCACAACGTGCTCGTCCGCCTGCAAATGCGAAATGGGTGCGTTCATGCGTATGGTCACATGCAGTTGCAACTTGCAACGCCGGCAAGCTGCCTTGCTGCAGCGTTGGCACAGTGCATTGGTTAAGTGTTGGCAGGTCGCCGAATTGCAATGCTGGCAAGCCGCCGTCGAGCTGCGTTGGCAGGCCGCCGACTTGCTATGCTGTTGGGCCGCGGACTTGCTACGCTGGCGGTCAACCTGCCGTCTCCTAGGTTGCTAGGCCTTATATTTGGTCATTATTGTCTACCATTCTTGCATCAGTAATCTCAACTTGTGCAAGTGAAACTCTTATTGTTTTGCTCAGTGAACGCACAAGTCTTAGAGAACACAAAGATCAGTATGACCATTCGTACCACCTGTGCCTTCTCCTTAGTCTAGCTCCCGCCGGTGTAGAGTGCCTCTCAACACGTAAAATTGGGGCCCTATGATTAGCTGGTGTATATCATAGCGGATTGCAAAAGGCCACAGAAAATGGAAGGCACCGGCATGGATCATGGAAGTACGGACTGTCAGAATGTTATGTGTTGTGTAGGTTGCAGTGGGACCTCAAAAGAGATTACAACCATTTTAGGGTTTTCTATATGTACTCCACCTGCCTGCTAGTACAATCCTCTTCTTCTGTTCATTTTCTGCTCATTATTTTATGACATGGGATTCAGAGCAAGCTCTTTCCTTGAGCCTTCCTCAATGGGCCCATTGTTCGCTTCCGCTGCTGTTATTTCTATCGCGCGCCCTGTGCGCGTGACTATTTTCTTGCCTGTCGCGCGCCTCGGGTGCGCTACGTTTTCTGCCCGCCACGCGCCCCGGGCGCGCGGCGGTTTTCTGCCCGTCACGCGCCCCGGGCGCGCGACGATTAGCTGGCACCCGTGCGCCGCCCCGTTCACCCTCGCACTGCCCCGCTGTACCCGTGCGCCGCCCCGTACACCCGTGTGCTGCCCCGCTGCACCCGCGCGCCGCCCCGTGGCACCCGCGCGCGGCCCCGTGCACCCGTGCGCCGCCCCATTCACCCGCGCGCTGCCTCGGTGCACTCGCGCGCCGCCCCGTACACCCGCGCGCCGCCCCGTTGCACCCGCGCCGCCCCCTGGCACCCGCGCGAGGCCCCGTTCACCCGCGCGCCGCCCCATGCACCCGCGCGCAGCCCCTCTGTAGCCGCGGGGCATCTTCTTGCTCCAGTAGTCCGAATGCCCTTGCTCCGGTAGCCCGTGATCCTGTTGCTCCAGTCGCCCGTGGGTTAGTTGCTCCAGCCACTCGTCTAGCCGCGGAGCCAGTTACTCCAGTAGTCCGGATGCCCTTGCTCCGGTAGCCTGTATGTCAGTTGCTCCAGTCGCCCGTGTGCCAGCAGCTTCAGCTGCCGCCTCCTACCTCCTCTCCTCTCATAGTCCCTCCTCCTCCTCCTCACTTGCTCTCTTGTTGTATTGACTATACCCCACTTTGCCTATGGGGGTGTGTCAGAATGTTATGTGTGTTTTGTGTAGGCTATAGTGGGGTACTCAACAGAGAGTACAACCCTTTTAGGGTTTCTTATATGTAATCTCCTTGCCTGCTGGTACAATCCTCTTCTTTTGTTCATTCTCTGCTCGTTAGTTTTTGACACGGACAATCTACACGACTAAGCCAATGCAACGTTCAGATACCCCTCTCATTGCTGTAGTCTCGCCGGCAGACCAAGAGGCCTACGCTGTACAGCACAGCGCATACTTGGTCCGGTAATAAACGTGACGTTTTCTGCCCGCCTACGTTATTTGCCTTGGTCTGGTAGCTCTTAATCAACTAGTAATCAACTAGTGTGTGCACTTTAGCCAGTTTACGTCGGCGAAGGAGTGCTTGAATGCTATAGTTGCTCGTTACTCCACTCCCTTCACTGCTGCTCTAGGTCGTCGCCTAATGCTATTTACCATTCCATTTTTTTCTGCATTCCGCACTGTTGCCGATCTTGTTGCTCACATGCACTCTTGTAACTCTAGCTATCTTGTTGCCTGCCTAGAGCTCAGCTTGCTAGCCACCCCCTACCCATTTTTCTGATTCCATGTGAGAAAAGGGAAGAATGGAATGTTTAGAGAAAACATGTAGGGGTACATATAATAGACCTTAACAATGCCAAACCGTAGCCTACCAAAGTGTAGAAGTATAATTTGACACATGCTGTGTGATATTTGTAATAGTTAGAACTAACTAATGCCTCATTTTGCGTAGTTTAGGAATGGAGGACGTTGCAGCTGATAGTTACATTGACACGAATTGTATGCTATCATATTACTGAACTAACAATACTGTAAAATATTGGGCTCCATAACAAAGCCGTCGTGCAATAGCTTATAACGTGCTTCTATCGCCACCTCGCCCCAGATGCCTTGCAATTCCTGACCTCAGCTTTTCCAAATTGCTCTCGACGTCGGAATCGTTGGGAGCATCACCCTTTCTGCCTGAGGGCCAGCATGAGAGCCATCGATCTCGTCATGCTGACCTGGCAAGAACGAGTCAGATGAAAGAGGTCACACATCCCTATCGTCGACGTTGGCCTGTCACCCTTCGGGACGGTCAACCTCGAAGTCAGAACCGGATCAAGCTAGCCTCTATTGTTGGCTCGACAAAGCTGACCCACAGATTGAAGCAGGCCTGGTTCGTGGTGAACGAAGTCGTCAACCTCGGACGATCTGCCAAACCTCGGAATTTGGCCAAAAGAGGTGGCTTATCCAAACCGAGCCAACACCGGACCTGTTTCCACGAACCGAAGCTGCTGCCTCGACCTCGGAATTACCGTCTTCCGCAAGTCGAAGTTATCAATCTCCATTTCAATAAGCTTAGAGAACTGACTACTGACAAGGAGTTGCAGAGCGCAATCCAAGTGGGCTCGTCTCTAGTGGGGTAGAGGAGCCATTCTTTCGTCGCCAGCGCTCTCAGCATCTTCTTGACGCGTTACGCTCACGGAACCGCCGATCAGAATAACTCATTCCGTGCGTTCCAGTTATGGAAACGTTCAATGTGCGCGTCGGCGGGGGAAGGCCTTCCGTAGATGCTGCGCGCAATTCGTTGATTGTAGGTGGTTAATAGTAGGTGGTTGATTGTCGATGACTGATTGTAGGTGACGCATCCACTCGTGAAATGCGTGGTACGGAGATACAGTCTGCTTGCCCTACAAATGCGTTAGTTACACGGATGATCCGCGCTGAATTACTCCGACTTTCTATTGGCGACTTCTATTGTCGATTTCAACCCTGACTTGCTGCTCTTATGCTGCAGACGTCGCCGTTGCTTCTCGAGGAGCCGATCCGACTGGCATCGATATTGGAACACTCTCACTATCACGTAATTCCTCAGCCGTCACAACTGCTCCTCGCTGTAGTAAATTGCTCGTGTCCTCATATGTCTGCATTGCTCTCGCTTGTGCCTTTTCGAGTACCACGTTCTTCTCGTTATTATCACAACTGTCTTCGCTATCACATTTTCTACTCATTATCGTTCATGTCCCTCCTCTTACGATCAGGGCAACATACTCAAATACCTCGTTCCTCTCTTCATTAGGCGTCATGACTTTCTCACCTTCCATTATTCACTATATCGCGTACGTTGAACGGCAGAGGTCGGTTCCATGCCTGACCAAGATCGTGGGGACGGTCGGCGGCAACTCCAAGACCGTGGAGCAACTGTCGGCTCTTCTCGAAGCCGGCATGACAGGTGCGTGTGCGAGTGCTGGGGTGAGGTGAAGAGTGGAACGGATTCCTTGCGAAAGCTGCAGGGAAAGAATCGAGTGGGAGTGCGGGGAAGGGTACGATAAGAGGAAACTCCGAGACTGGAGAAAACGTCGTCTCTGCTCGAAAGCAGGCATGATATGTACCCGCGCGTGTGCTGGGGTGAGGGGAAGAGGGTGATGGGGATGGGATGGTGGCCAAGGCTTGAAGAACGAAGAGGAACAGAGGCCAGGCGGAAACGCGAAGATTCTGGAGCAACTGTCGGCTCTGCTCGAGACGGGTACGAGAGGTGCGCTGATGGGTTCCGGAGGGCTTGGGGAGGAAAAGCGGGGGTGGAGAGGTGTGCAGCGGATAGGACATGACAATACGCGTTTTCCTCATTGGTATGAGAGGTGGGAAAACGGAACGGGGTTAACTGGTGAGGGAGTGAGTTTTCTATGCGTACGGGGTCAAGAATCATCGTTTCCCTTTCTTCAAGCTTGATTGCGTGATTCCATGTTCCTGCACTGCACACACCCTCCCCCCCCTCATCCCATCCCTTTCCCCCCAAAGCCCCACCAAACCCCCTGTCCCCCTGCCTCTCTCCCTTCTTATCTCAAACCAACCTCGTCGTCCTCCTCCCATCCACCTGACCCCGTACAGCTGCACGGTTCGCTTCCTTAGTGAGCGACACCGCTGGAGACACACAGAAGGCACACTCCCGCCCCTCTCTCTCCTCTTCTCCCCACCCTTCTGCGCCTCCTGCACTGCTGTCTTTTGAACCCGTCCCCCCATCCACCCGTCACCCTCTTACAGCTGCACGGTTCAAATTCTCAGTGAACGACCAGGAGAGCCTCAGCCCCCCTCTCCCTTCCTCCCTTCCTTCTCCCTCAACCCAATTCCCGTCGTCCCCACCCCTCACTCCCCGCCTGACAGCTGCACGGTTCGACTTCTCAATGAACGACCAGTGGGACCTCAGCCCCCCTCTCCCTCCCTTTCTTTCTTCTCCCTCAACCCATTTCTCGTCGTCCCCACCCCTCACTCTCCGCCTGACAGCCGCACTGTTCGACTTCTCTGTGAACTATCAGGAGAACCACCAGGAGACGTATGAAAACCACGTTCAATGCTGTCTGTCACCCCCGTCCACCCCCTGACAGCCGCACGGTTCGACTTCTCTGTGAACGACCAGGAGAACCACCAGGAGACATATGAAAACCACGTGCGATGCTGTCTGTTGCCCCCGTCCCCACCCCTCACTCACCCCCTGACAGCCGCACGGTTCGACTTCTCCGTCAACGACCAGGAGAACCACCAGGAGACGTACGAGAACCTGCGGGCTGCCATGAAGAAAACGCACCGCATGTGCGCGGTGAGTCAGGTTTCATTGTGCCAAACAACACAGTGTACAGTGCAGTGCAGTACACGAGATGAGATACTTGACACCCTGAAATGAGAGCATGAAAAAAGCAAATCCATTGGCCACCATCAATCAAACGCACTGCATGTGCGCGGTAATTTGGGACGGGTTTGAACTGTAACCATGAAAAACACCAACACTGCACTGTACGGTACGCTCCACAAGTGCGGGGTAAGACTTTTTTAGTTGTGGAGATTACTACAGCGGGTTTAGGGTACTGCCGCCGACTGACAGACGCAGCACAGCCTTGAGAAAACCACCAGCAACATCAACATCAACAGCAACAACAGCAACAGCAACAGCAACAGTGACCTATTCGTGTGTATCCTATCCCCACCTCCTTCAGGTTGTGTACGACACACACGGGCCTGAGATCACCATCTTCAACAGCAACCATGCAACGGTGACGATGACAGCGGGCAGCACGGTGGTGCTGTCGAGCGACAAGGACCACCCCGTCACTGCCCACGCGCTGCCCCTCGCCTGCCCTCAACTCGCCAAGGTGGGTGTGAGGGGCATGTGGTGGGATGGGGTGGGTGGGAGACGGGGGGCGAGGGAGGGGGGTGGGGGTTGGGGTATGACGATGAAAGCTGCCCACGCGCTGCCCCTCGCCTGCCCCGAACTCGCCAAGGTGTGTGTGTGTCGGAGGGGGGAGGGGGGGGGGTGTGGGTGTGTGTGTGTGTGTGTGTGTGTGTAGTCTAATACGTGCTCTCATCCAATCACATCTAATCCCACCCCCTACTCTCCACCTCCATCCCCCTCTCCCTCCTTGCTAAACCCCAGGCGGTGAAGCCAGGGGATAAGGTGTTTGTGGGGCGCTACCTCTTCACAGGCAGTGAGAACGCCAGCAAGCACAGAGGGCACATGTTTTAAACAACATCAAACACCACCGCCTCCTATACCCCCCTCCCTGCCATCTTCCAGGCTGTGAAGCCAGGGGACGAGGTATTTGTGGGGCGATATCTCTTCACAGGCAGCGAGACCACCACCACCACCACCACCACCACCAGGCACATGTTTTCACATCAAAACCCATCGCCCCTCATTTCCCCATCTCTACCCATCCCAGGCTGTGAAGCCAGGGGACGAGGTGTTTGTGGGGCGCTACCTCTTCACAGGCAGCGAGAACGTCAGCAAGCACAGAGGCACATGTTTTAAACCACATCAAATCCCACCCCCTACTCTCCTCTCATCCCTGTCATCTCTTCCAGGCGGTGAAGCCAGGGGACGAGGTGTTTGTGGGGCGCTACCTCTTCACAGGCAGCGAGACCACGTCTGTGTGGCTCAAGGTGAGTTAGCTGATGACACGTAAGGTGTGCTTGAACTGAAGCCAAAGTAGTCGTCAGCGACACTTAGTGCAGCTCAAGGTGAGCTATGTGACGTGACGAGATGTCAGGTGTGCGTGAAGTCACCTAGCTCAAGTCACAAAGTAGTTGTCTTGTCAGCATTCTCTATGGCTCACGTCGAGCCGTGCCTGAAATAGATGCAAGGCAAGCCAGTCTACGGTTTAGGCTCCCTTCGTTTTGTTCCCTCCCACCTTCCCCTGCCTTTCGCCCCTCCACTCCCTCTCCTCTCCCCCTTCCTCCCCTCCTGCGCTCCTCTTCTCCTCATCTTTCTTTCCCTCCCTCAAGGTCTTGAGGCACATTGAACCAACTCGCCTCCCATTTCTCCTTCTCCCCCACTCTTTCTCTTCCTCCCTTCCTCCCCCGCACTCAACCCAACCCCACCCGTTTCCACCCAGGTGGAGGAGGTGAAGGGGGAGGATATAGTGTGCACGGTGACCAACACAGCTGAGCTGCAAGGAGACTTCTTCACTGTGCATGCTGCTCAGGTATGCACCGCCCCCATCCATCCCTTCATGCAAGGGGGGACCAACACAGTGACCAACACAGCAGAGCTGCAAGGAGACTTCTTCACTGTGCATGCTGCTCAGGTACAGCTCGTCTCCACCCCCTCCCTGCTGCACACAGTCACACCCTTCTCCTCTTGCGCTTGATTCGTCCCATCACAGGTGTGCTTTTGATTGGACTCAAAATCAAAACTTGGGTCGACTCAAAAGCATCCCCTGCTGCACACAGTCACACTCTCCTTTGCGCTTGATTCGTCCCATCACGGGTGAACACGAATGGGCATGCTTCTTGCCTTTTGAGTTTCTCTTGCGCCCTTCTCCTCCTCTCCCACTCCACTCTATGATCCATCTGTCACAGGTGGACACGAATCTGCCCATCCTCCCCAAGGTGTACCAGCGCCATCTTTCCCTTCCCCTTTCACCCCTTTCCACCCCGTTCCAACCCCTTCCAGCCCCTTCCAGCCCCTTCCAACCCCTTCCACCCCCTTCCGCTCCCCTCACTCCCACCCTCCCTCCTCCCCCCATCACAGGTGGACACGGACATGCCCATTCTCTCCAAGGTGGACGAGCGCCACCTGTCCATGTGGGGAGTGCAATCATGTGCCTGCTTTCTCACACCTCTGCGCATACCCTCCTCCTCTATCACTCACCCCATCACAGGTGGACACGGACATGCCCATTCTCTCCAAGGTGGACGAGCGCCACCTGTCCATGTGGGGAGTGCAATCATGTGCCTGCTTTCTCACACCTCTGCGCATACCCTCCTCTTCTATCACTCACCCCATCACAGGTGGACACGGACATGCCCATTCTCTCCAAGGTGGACGAGCGCCACCTGTCCACGTGGGGAGTGAACTGCCTGCCGCACATCATCTTCCTCTCCTTCACTCGCAACGCAGAGGACGTCAGATACGTGAGTGACTGATTCTAGCAGAGCTTGCTGCACATCACAAAGGCACCTAGGCAGGCAGCATGTTGCTTGCCGCACATCATCTTCCTCTCCTTCACTCGCAACGCAGAGGACGTCAGATACGTGAGTTAATTCCGAGGAGGCAAACTGCCTGTCGCACAGCTTGTGATTCCGAGAATGCACAGAGGTGCCCAGGAAGCCACGTGCTTTCTGCATGTCATCTTCCTCTTTCTTTCACTCGCAACGCAGACGATGTCAAATGCGTGAGTGGATGCACAGAGGCGCCTAAACAGCACGCGCTTGAGATTCAGATGCCTTCATACCAGCTTTCACTCCTCAAGTTGCAACACCGAGGAAATGAAATTCTCGAGTCGACGATTCTGAGGCGCCTAAGCATACCATGTTCCTGCCTTGCATCACCTTCCTCTCCTTGTTCTGCAACCCCTTGCCACTATGCAAGCTCAAAGCTCCCCCCCCCTTACTCTCCTCACCCATCCCCATCCCTTTCCACCTCTCCAGGCTCGCAAGTACCTCGCCCAACTGGGCAAACTCTCGCAGGCCTTCATCTTTGCAAAGATTGAGAGCATTCAGGTGGGCTCAGAGAATTCAGTTTTCTTTCCAGTTGGTTTCATCTTTGGAGCCAAAACTAGGAGCATCTGTTCAGGAGCCCATGCATGCTCATGCTCACTTCTGCAACATGCATGTTCAAAAGCTCTGTACTTGTGTATGTTATATGTGTTTGTGTGTGTGTGTGTGTGTGTGTGTGTGTGTGTGTGAGTGTGTGTGTGTGCGCGTGCGCGCGTGCGTGCGTGCGTGCGTGCGTGTGTGTGTGTGTGTGTGTGTGTGTGTGTGTGTCTGTGTGTGTGTGTGTGTGTGTGTGTGTGTGTGTGTGTGTGCATGCACGTGCACATGTGTGGTGTATATCTATGCGCATGCGAGCAGGGGCTGAGGAAGATTGACGAGATCCTGGCAGAGGCTGACGGGCTGGTGCTGGGCCGAGGAGACCTTGGAATCGACCTGCCTGCAGAAAAGGTAGTACCTTCTCTGATGCTTGGTATTTAAGTTCCAGCCCTGTGGCTGAGGTGACCTTGGATTGCTGGTTCAAACCGAAGAGAGTCTCCCTGTGACTTCTCAAGGCGATTGTGTAGGGTTTTGGGCTTGTTACTACCACTCACCTAAACCAACAGCAACCAATGAACACATATGAGATATAAACACGCACATTCACATTCACATTCACATTCATGCCATCATATTTTGTGATGGAGCTTCTGAAGAGAATGACTATATTGAAGCCTACAGGGCCGAGAGTCATCTTGAGCATTCTTGACTCATCCATCTCCCCAACAGCTTCTTGACCCTTTCAACCGCTCACATTACCTTTCTTCCTTCATCCTGCAAACAGGTGTTTCTGATGCAGAAGGTGGCGATCTACAGGGCCAACATGTCGGGCGGGCAAGCCGTGTGTCATCTCGAGCACTCTCTATTCTCGCCCACAGCACTCAGTTCACAGCCAAACACATGCTTCTACCCCCCTTCCTTCATCACGCCAACAGGTGTTTCTGATGCAGAAGGTGGCCAACATGGCGGACAGGCAAGCCATGTGTCATTACACGCACTCTCTAGCCCACAGCACTCGGTTCACAGTCACACACATGCTCATCTTCTCCTCCCCCCCCCCCCCCCCCCCCCCCCCCCACCCCACCCCTTTCTTCATCCCGCCCGCAGGTGTTTCTGATGCAGAAGGTGGCGATCTACAAGGCCAACATGGCGGGCAAGCCATGTGTCACACATGCTCATTGGTTCTACCTCCCTCGCCTCTCTCTCCATTCATTCATCCCGTCAACAGGTGTTTCTGATGCAGAAGGTGGCCATCTACAAGGCCAACATGGCGGGCAAGCCATGTGTCATCTCGCGAGTGGTTGACACCATGACAGACACGCCCCGCCCCACTCGTGCTGAAGCCACTGACGTCGCCAACGCTGTGCTGGACGGTGCGTGGGATGGGTGGGATCAGCTGTGTGGCTACATTGAGAAATGAGCGCTCTGCTACAGCAGATGACGGTTGACGGTGGGATGACGGTTGGGTTGGGATGACGGTTGGGTTGGGAATGATGGTGGGAGGGATGGATTGTGGTGGTGGGTGGGATGGACCGTGGTTGGGTGGGTCGCATGGACATTGGGAGGGATGGGTTGGGATGGAATGTATGATGAAGGAAGCTGCCTGTGTCTTCCTGCTCACATTCTGCCTACTCCACCACGCCTCCCCTCCCACCCCTTCCCCTTCCCTTCCTGTGTTTTCGAGTCCATGCGTGGACGCGATTATGGTTGAAGCTGAGATGCCTCCTTCTCTTCGGGTGTGGAAACTCTCCTTCTCTACACCCGTAGAGCCTTCTGTCCGTCATCCGTGCTTGCTCCTCCCCCATACTCTAGCCTCTTCCTCTCTCTAATTATCCTCACCTGCCCCTGCCCCCCCTCCTCCCCACCCATTTGTGCTTTCCTTCTTCTTTCTTTTCTAATTTCCAGGGGTGGATGCGATCATGCTGGGAGCTGAGACGCTCAGAGGGCTGTACCCTACTGAGACAGTTTCAACCGTGCGCCTCATCTGTGCCGAGGTGCGTTTCATCCTTGCCGAGGTGCATTTCATCTGTGCAAAGAAGAGTTTCATGTCGAGTCCTAGCTAGCATATACCCAGTCACATGTGCTCGCACACGCGGCTCTCTTGTGTGTGCTTTTGTGAACGCCAGTGAGCCTTCACATTTGCATGCGTACACCCAGAACCACGGCAAGAGTTCCAAGGTGCGCTCGCTCTCACACTGAGAGCACTCATATGTGCGCATGTAAGTGCACTCTCGGGCACGCTGGATACACTACCACTTCAACTTATCACGCTGCATAAGACAGCTGATCAAACCCATTCCCTCAACCTACTCCCTCACATCAATCTCTTCAATCATGCATCTCCCTGTCCCTGCCGGGCAGAGAAGGCATACCACTCCCTTGTACACCGTAGCCCCCACTTATCCCCCCCACCATCCCCCTCGTGCAGGCGGAGAAGGCATACAACCAGGAGCTCTATTTCAAGAAGGCGGTCAAGGAAGCCACTGACACCATGAGCGAGCTCGAAGCCATGGCCTCGTCCGCGGTAAGTCTTTTATCAAATCAGCTTATATTGAGTCGGCCAACACACCCATCATGAGCGAGCTCGAAAGCCATGGCCTCATCCGCAGTACGAATCTTATCGAATTATCTTATACGACGTGAATCGTGTGAGTAATGGTTGTACACTCTGTGAGCACGCAATAAACTAGTCACAATAATAAGGCACATACAGCACTGAAGGGCCCTTGTCCTTCAGGCACAGGAAAATCTGTGAGAATGCATTCTAATGGTGTGTGTGTGTGTGCGCGCGCGTGCGCGCGGGCGCGCGCGTGTGCGTGTGCGTGCGTGTTCGTGTGTGTGCGCGCGTGTGGGCGTGCGTGCGCGTGTGTGCGTGTGCGCGTGTGCGTGCGTGCGTGCGTGCGTGCGTGCGTGCGTGCGTGCGTGCGTGCGTGCGTGCGTGCGTGCATGCGTGCGTGCGTGTGTGTGTGCGCGCGCGCGCGCGCGCGCGCGCGCGTGCGTGTGTGTGTATGTCTCTGTGTGTGTGTGTGTGTGTGTGTGTGTGTGTGTGTGTGTGTGTCTGTGTTTCCGATTTACCTGGAAATTTACCTGGCAGGTGAAAACAGCAGAGAAGGTGCATGCAGCAGCGATTGTGGTGTTTACCTCCTCTGGAAGAATGGCCAGGTGAGTCGTGTGTAGACCTTTTCAGGTGAAGTCAACCGAAGTTAACAATGTCTTCTTTCAGGTATTTCAGGTGTTTCAGGTATTTCAGGTGCTTCATGTGTGTCACCTGCTGGTGATTACCTGACGCTCCTGTCAGGTGGCCACTCGCTTCCTTCATCCCACCTGCATCCTCTGTCTCCTCTCCTATGAGGCTCCCACCCTAGCACGAGCCGTCCGCACCTGCAGTAACCCTCCACTAAATACAAGTACAATACCAGCCATGCCTGTGCTCACTCACCCTCATCATTCCACGCCTCTCCCCTCTGCCTCCCTCCTCTTATTACTCTCCCTTGTCCTCTCTCTTTTATCCCAGCCTCACGAGCATGTACATGCCAACCATGCCCGTGCTTCCTCCCGTCATTCCAGGCCTCCCTTTTCTCCTCTCGTATTCCCCTCCCTTAACCCGTTTCTTTTTCCCGTCTCTTTCTCCCCTCCCCCATGTCAGGCTCGTGGCCAAGTACAAGCCAACCGTGCCCGTGCTCACTCTCCTCATTCCACGCCCCTCCCCGCCCCTTTCCCCCACATTTCCCTCACAACAACCCCCCCCTCCCAGGCTCGTGGCCAAGTACAAGCCAACCATGCCCGTGCTCACTCTCCTCATTCCGCGCCGCTCCTCTCCCGTTCCCCCTTCTCTCACTCACCCTTTTCCTCCCCATCCCCCTCTTCCCTCTCCCATCCCAGGCTTGTGGCCAAGTACAAGCCAACCATGCCCGTGCTCACACTCGTCATTCCACACCTTCCCCTCCCGTTCCCCCCTTTCTTCCCCCCTTTCTTCCCCCCTTTCTTCCCCCCTTTCTTCCCCCCTTTCTTCCCCCCTTTCTTCCCCCCTTTCTTCCCCCCTTTCTTCCCCCCTTTCTTCCCCCCTTTCTTCCCCCCACCTCTCTCCCCTCCCCCTCTCCCCTCCCCCCTCCCAGGCTCGTGGCCAAGTACAAGCCAACCATGCCGGTGCTCACTCTCGTCATCCCGCGCCTCTACGTTGATAAGCTCAGATGGACGGTGCAGGGTGAATTCCCGGTGAGTTGATCAACTCAGATAGGCGGTTCAGGGTGAATTCCCTGTGATATTTCTCTTCTGCTCTGTGCGTGGTATAGGCTGCATGCAGGGTGAATTCCCGGTGAGTTGATCAGTTCAGATGATCGGTTCAGGATGAATTCCCGATGAGAAATGGCTCTTTTGTTTTGTGCATGGCACAGGCCTGGATACAGGACGGGGCATCAGGGTAATCTTGTGTCAAACCCTAGGCCTTGAGGTGTAGGGGTAGATATATGGGGGCTGTTTCCAGTCAAAAATCAGAAATGTGTTGGGTTTCTTAGTGCCTGCAACTCTCCATCCCGTCACTTCCCGTCCCTGCACTCTCCATAACTCCACTTTTCATCCCTCCTCTTGTAGGCTGCATGCTTCAGCCACTGCAGCTTCCTACTACGAGTTTTCTCTCCGGTTTTCCCAAAAAGGGATTGAGTCCCCATCTCTTTGTATATTCTGTTTGTCCGTCCTCCCCTGCGCCTCCCCTTCAAACAACAGGCTCACATGTGTTGTCTTATGCGGGCCCTCATCCCCATGATGGCTACACCCAAGACACTGGTATGTTTACAGTACACAATGGAACGTATACAAAACAGCTCAGATATATCCTGTGGCTGGGATGAGGCTGCAACATTGGATATTGTAACTAAGCTCCTTCCTCTCTTCGCCCCGTTCTCTATGTCTTCACCGTAGTCCTTATTGGTTCCCTGTATGTCAATCTCGTTTTTTTCATGGGGTCACTGCTTGAGCTCGTTTCAAACCCCCTTAGTCTGGCAATCTCATGCGGTAATCTAATATGTATGCTCTTTCTTACCCTGCAGGAGCAAAGCGATGTATCCACTAACGAGACAGTTCTCAAGGAGGCCATTCTTCAGGGCCAGCGCATAGGAGTGCTGAGGAAGCACGACAGGGTGGTGGTGGTGCAGAAACTGGGTGATGCTGTCGTGGTTCGAGTCGAAGAGGCGCTTCCTTACTCTAAATAAATAAACTTGTCCCAGCACCATCCTTTATATATTCTTGTGCCGCAAGTGTGTGAAACCTGAGAGTGGCTTGAGAAAGAAGCAGCTAGAATGTCATTACTGATTGATTGGTGTACTTGATTATGTTGAATGTGGAGCATGGATGGTCAGAGCATAGCCCGCTGCTTGTATGCTGGATAACAGGTTAGAACATTTATTGTCAGTGAAGGCTATCAGTAGTGACTGTTCGAGCAACTGTGATACGACCCCAGCACCATCTGTGCGGGGTTGGTTCGTTGTTGGTTATCCGTTTCTCGCTTGAGTGAGAAGCTGGAAAGGGTTTGGTCTGCAACTGCACCCTGAAAGCCTGACAATCAAATATTTTCTTGCCTAATGTAAACACAGGCTTGCCCCCTTGAATCTTACTGAACCGCTACGAAGCGCAATAGCATATTTGAAACCACTCTTCACCGTGCAACGCGTTGAATGGCTCTGAATTGTCTGGTGGCGCCAGGCGGAATGGCGTTACTAGAGCTGTCCGGAACAAATTTGAGAGTGCTTACTATTTGCCTTCCATTCATAATTTCGGAGATTAGTAAGCACCGTCGTTTCGGCTATCGTATCAGTCACTCTCGCTCGGCTTTCTGAGACGAGTCGCTCATTGCTTGGGTCCCGATCGGGTCTGTGACGTGTCCGAATCGCCTCCGCTCGTCGCGCACTGCTCTTTCGCGTTTGATTAGCGGCTTCGCGCGTTTCCCGAGCACGACGTGGATTCGTGCAGAATGCTCTATGAGACACTAGACCCTGAGTTCTTCGCAATTTTGAACAGAATTAGTAATGTATAAGCAGGACGGACGGATGCAGTGAGCATGCCTGGTCGGCAAACAACCGATAGTATGCTCGTAGTAGCTGGACTTTAGCGCGTACAAGCACACAGCTTTGGTCCCGCAGACGCTGTAACCGAAGCGACGCACGGCCGATGTTGCATAGAAGCGCTGTCCTTACGGGCTAGCCCGGAGTGCACTGTATTCATGCGTAGATTGTAGAGAGGGAAAGGTACGCACGGCCGGTGATGCACAGAAGCGGCGTTGGCACATGAATACAGAAGCGGCGTTAACACATGAATACAGAAGCGGCGTTAGCACGGAATAACCCATGGGTTTGCAAGTGAAAGGCGTCTGCCATGATGCCGTCCTGCGTGAAAGGCGCGCGGGGTCCAGGTGGCGCGCAGCGTGGGGGTGGCGCGCGGGTATCAAATGGCGCGCGGGATATATACGGCGCGCAGGGTCCAGGTGGCGCGCAAAATCCGATTGGCGCGCAGCACGCATTTTGAGCTGGCTTCTGCTGGCTGCTTGCCACGTGGCGACCCTCGTTACTGTCACTCTAGCAGGTAAGCACGTCACAGTCTTGCCCTTTGGCCTGCGGCTTTTCCCCTTGTTCTGTGATCTCTCCTGTAGTACTGTCTCAAATCCGTAACCCACAACGCAGCAGATTTAGACGTAGGGCAGGACACATGGCCTGGTCACTGCAGGGCCGAATGAGAAAGCTTCTGCTGATTCAATCCTCAAAAGTGAACCCAGAACCTGTCTTTCCCTCCCCATGACTTTTGAGTCGACTCAAAAGTCACATGTCCACTGCAGGGCCAAATGAGACAGCTGCTGCTGAGACAATCCACAAAAGTGAACCCAGCCCCTGTCTTTCCCTCCCCACCTCCTGTCTTTCCCTCCCCAAAGCCTCTCTTCCCCTGTACATCCCCATACCCGCAGCAGACTCAGATATAGTTGACAAGATTGGGCTGCTGCTGGGGCGAGTGGGTCAGCTGCTGCTGTGCCAATTCCACAAAAGTACACCCAGCCCCTGTTTTCGCCTCCCGACCTGTCTCTCCCTTCCCAATCCCGCAGCAGATGGAGTTGTAGTGGACAACACAGGGCCGCTGCTGGGGCGAGTGGGTCAGCTGCAGCAGCAGCTGCACCACCAGCTGCTGCCTTCCTCGCACGCCTCCACCCACCCACTACCTTCCAACCCACACGGCCCAAACTACCTCCTCCTTCCTGAAAGTTTGGATCAGCTGGTTCTCCCAGAGGGCTCGGATCAGCCAGGGGGTTTGGCGTCAGGCGGAGTGGGAGCTGGTCGGGGGGGAAGGGGGAGAGAAGAGCAGCGGAGTGCAGCAGGGATGGAGAATCATGGGGGGTTTGATTCAGCGGATTGGGAGGACCAACCCCTAGGGCGTTTGGCGGCAGGCAGATTGGGAGGTGCTGGTGGTGGTGGTGGTGGTGGTGGTGGTGGTGGTGGTGGTGGTGGTGGTGGTGGTGGTGGTGGTGGTGGTGGTGGTGGTGGTGGTGGTGGTGGTGGTGGTGGTGGTGGTGGTGTGGGGAGGAGGGGGGTAGAAGAGGAGCGGAGTGCAGGGAGTGCAGGAATGGAGAACCACGGGGGCATTGTGCCTGAAGGGGTTGTGCCTGACGCAATGGATAAGCGCATTCCGATGGGCATCCGGTGAGTGTGATGTGAATCTCAGTCTGTTCTGAGCCAACTCAACACATGCCGGAAGGGGTTGTTGTGCCTGACGCAATGGATAAGCGCATCCCCATGCTCATCCGGTGAGTCTGTCCGACTCTTCTTACTCGCCCGTGATGCACTTGAACGAGAGGGTTTGTCTCTCACCTTATAGACGATGGAGGTTTAGGGTGGAGCTTTCCCGTCTGGAGAGATGGGAACGCCGGGTGGCAAGGTTACAAGGCAGCGGGGTCCACAGCGGTTGCGGATCAAGGCCACAGCCTCGCATTTCGCCGGGTTATGCACCAGGCCTGTCAAGGCTGAGAAGGGCGTCTGTAAGGTGAGGTGAGTGAAGGCTTCTGAGCAGACAGCTATGTTGAGTTTACTTTTGAGAACTCCCAAAAGTAGACTCAACATAACTGCACCAGGCCTAGGCTGAGAAGGGTGTCTGAAAGGTGAGTGAAGGCTTCAGAGCAGACAGACCCTCTCGTACCCTGACGCCCTGGCTGGCTGGTTGGATGAATTATTCGCGGATTCCGCTGAGTCCTTATGTGTGCGGATTCCACACATCCCATGGATGCACAAACGCAGGCACATAACTTGGCTTCTGTGTGTGTGCGCGCGTCTCTCTACCGTCCCTTGCTGCCTGTATCATCTGATTTACCCTTCCAACACTTTTCCCTTACCGGTGTCCCCCCACCACTTCAACCCCCCCTCTCCCCACCTGCCCCGTCCTCCCCATAGTCACAGACCAAGAATGACTCAAAAGCGCCTGCAGTTGCCTGTGAAGCTGCTTCCAATCAGCATCCCATGTGATTCATTTCTTGCCTTCTCCCCACCCATCCACATCCCATTACCCACACCCTCTCCCCCAGAGACAGCTGCATGCCCATCCCCGTGCCATGTGATCCAATTCCCTCTTCCTCCCGCTCCCCACACACACCCACCACAACCACCACCGCCACACGCACCACCACCATCACCAGAATGAGTCTTGAGCGCCTACAGTTGCCTCTGAATATGCTTTCACATGCCACGTGATTCGCTCCCTTCTTCCTCCCTTCCTCCCACACCACCATCACCAGAAACTGCCTCTGCAGGTGCTGCCACGTGCCACATGTTTTCCTCCTTTTCACTTCTGTCCTCCGGCTCGCATCCCTGTGCCCCTCTTCCCCTCCCCCAACCACCACCATCACCAGAATGGGTCCCGAGCGCCTGCAACTGCCCCCAGAGGTGCTGCCAAGTGCCATGTGATTCACTCATTCGCTTCCTCCTCCCTCTCCTCCCCGCCCACATCCCCACATCCACACCCACACCCACACTCCCTCTCCTCGCCCCTTCCCCCACCACCATCACCAGAATGAGTCCCTAGCGCCTGCAACTGCCCCCAGAGGCGCTGCCACAGGCCATGCGAGTCCCTCACTCTCTTCTTCCTGTCGTTCCTCCCCCACCCACACCCCCATACACACACCCCCCCTCAACCACGACACCAGAATGAGTCCTGAGCGCCTACAGCTGCCTCTGGAGGCGCTGCCACAGGCCATCGACAGCAGCGAGCAGAAGAACGTCATGCTCGCGTTTCGAGAGCGGTTTGACAAGTAAGTGGGCGTCAGGGGTTTAAGGGGGGGAGGCAAGAGGGGAAGGTGGTTATTGTGGGTGCTTGCTCGTCCCATCTTGCCGTCATCGACAGCAGCAGGCAGAAGAATGTCATGCTGGCGTTCCGAGAGCGATTTGACAAGTGAGTGGGTGAAGGAAGGACGGAGAAGGGGGTGGGGAGGGGAGGCCGCGGGTGCGGGCAGAAGAGGGAAAGTCCCTTTTAAGGTGCCATGCTCAACTATTCATGTCAACGTGCCATCGTCGACAGCAGCGAGCAGAAGAACGTCATGCTCGCGTTCAGCCTAGAACACCCTCCTCCTCCATTCCTTCCCTACTCCCCTCCTTCCTTCCGCCTCCCTTCCTCCCCTTCTCTCCCTCCACCCAGCCCTTACAGATTCAGCGATTTGATTCGCTGTCACGGTCCCACCTGTCCCGCCTTCGCCCCTTGTGGCCCAGCCTACCCCAACGTGCATGCATGTTGGAACGAACACCTCGATGCTGTTGGAATATCTCCTCTCTTGTAACCTGCATATATGCTATAGGATAGGCTAGAGATAAGCACCCAAACTTAGTTTGGGTGTACAAGCAGGGGTTACCCAATTTGTAGGTTGGAAACCCAACCTTGGTCCAATTATTGGACCCCAAGGGTTGGGATGGGTAGAATTATTGGTCCCCTCCAATAATGTTGGCCCAACTCCAACTTGGCCAACATTATTGGACCCCACCAATAATCTCCCAACCCAACTCCTTGGTTGGGGTCCAATAATGTTCACCTAGGCTAGTTTCCAACCCATCTCCTATGTAAACCCCCCATCCTTTTCAATCAATCCATCAACTTCTCTTCTAACTTTTCTTCTCACATGGTATAGAGCTCTTAAAAAAACCTAGGCCTACGCTCCTAGTTTTTTTTTCAAAGGTCGCCGCAACCCCCGGCCTCCTTTCTCATTTTTCCGCGGCTATCACGCCACCCTCCCCCTCTCCTCAAGCACTCCCTTCCTCGCAGCCCCACGGCCTCCCACGCCATCACGGCTCGCGGCCCCACCGCCGCTTCCGCGCTCGCCTTGTCGCGGTCCCGCCGACCGCCACCGCCCGCCCCATTCCGCGGCCTCGACGCCGCCTCCGCGCCAACGCCACTGCGGCTCCACCAGCCGCCGTCGCCGCCGCCGCTCCCTTCCGCGGCCTCGTCGCCGCCTCCGCGCCTGCACTGCCGCGGCTTCGCCAGCCGCCGCCGCTCGCGCCGCTCCCTCCCGCGACCCCGTCGCCGCTTCCGCGCCTGCACTGCCGCGGCCTCGCCAGCCGCCGCCGTCCGCGCCGCTCCCTCCCGCGGCCTCGTTGCCGCCCCCGCGCCTACGCTGCCGCGGCCTCGCCAGCGCCGCAGTTCGCGCCGCTCCCTCTCGCGGCCTCGTCGCCGCCTCCGCGCCTGCACTGCCGCGGCTTCGCCAGCCGCCGCCGCTCGCGCCGCTCCCTCCCGCGACCCCGTCGCCGCTTCCGCGCCGTCACTGCCGCGGCTTCGCCAGCCGCCGCCGCTCGCGCCGCTCCCTCCCGCGGCCTTGTCGCCGCTTCCGCGCCTGCACTGCCGCGGCCTCGCCAGCGCCACAGTTCGCGCCGCTCCCTCTCGCGGCCTCGTCGCCGCCTCCGCGCCTGCACTGCCGCGGCTTCGCCAGCCGCCGCCGCTCGCGCCGCTCCCTCCCGCGACCCCGTCGCCGCTTCCGCGCCGGCACTGCCGCGGCTTCGCCAGCCGCCGCCGCTCGCGCCGCTCCCTCCCGCGGCCTTGTCGCCGCTTCCGCGCCTGTACTGCCGCGGCTTCGTCAGCGCCGCAATTCGCGCCGCTCCCTCTCGCGGCCTCGTCGCCGCCTCCGCGCCTGCACTGCCGCGGCTTCGCCAGCCGCCGCCGCTCGCGCCGCTCCCTCCCGCGACCCCGTCGCCGCTTCCGCGCCGGCACTGCCGCGGCTTCGCCAGCCGCCGCCGCTCGCGCCGCTCCCTCCCGCGGCCTTGTCGCCGCTTCCGCGCCTGTACTGCCGCGGCTTCGCCAGCCGCCGCCGCTCGCGCCGCTCCCTCCCGCGGCCTTGTCGTCGCCTCCGCGCTTGTACCGCCACGGCTGCGCCAGCTGCCGCCGCCGCCTGCGCCTCTCCGCGGCCCCATCGCCGCCTCCACGCTAGCGCCGCCGCGGCCTCGTCAGCCGCCGCCGCCAGCACCGCTCCCCTCACGGCCTCGTCGCCGCCTCCGCGCCAACGCCACCGCGGCGCCACTAGCCGCCGCCGTCCGCGCCGCTCCCCTCTGCGGCCTCGTCGCCGCCTCACCTCCCTCTCCTCCGTGACCACTGCGGGTCCCCTCACGGCCGTCCTTCATGGCTACCGCCGCACCTTCCCCCGCCCCCCTCCCTCCTCCTATTGATTCGTCCTCCATTGATAAGCTCCAGCTCGCCGCGGACAAGTCCGCAGTCAACTGGCACTCCTTCGTCGGCAGCATCCGACGCGTTCTCTCCGACGCATGGGTTCCCCCCTACCGTGTCCTTGACGTCATCCTCCGCCGCCCCCATGCCCTCCCCCCCACCGAACCTCCCCACCCCGGCGAGACTCCTCCTCTTCCTCCTACTCCTGGCGACCCTCCTCGTGAACCCGATCTTCAGATCACCCCCGACCAAGCCACTGCGGATGCTGATTTTATCCTACGCGATGATGTGCACCCGCCCCGACCTCGCCTACCCCGTCAGCGTCCTTGCTCGGTTCGTCGGCTCTGGCCGTCACACTGAGGAACACTGGGCTGCCGCCAAGCGGGTCCTCCGCTATCTCTGCGGCACCAAGGATCACGCTCTCACACTGGGTGGATCCTCCCCTCCCCTTCTCTCGGGCTTCAGTGACTCCTCCTGGGCAGACAATCAGCCAGACCGCCGCTCCTCCCAAGGCTATGGCTTTACCCTCGGCAGCGGACTTATCAGCTGGCGTTCCACCCGCTCCTCAGCCATCGCTCTCTCTTCCTGCGAAGCTGAGCTCTATGCGGGCACCATGGCCGCTCAAGAGTCCCGCTGGCTCTGCTTTCTTCTGGCAGAGCTTGGTGCCCCCCAGCGCTGTCCCACGCTCTGGTGTGACAACGCCAGCACCATCCACCTCACCCAGGATCCAGTCTTTCATGGTCGCTCCAAGCACATCGAGCTCCGTTATTTCTTCATCCGCGAACTCGTCCGACAGAATCTTATCGCCGTCCGCAAGATCGCCACTGAAGCCAATTTGGCGGATATCTTCACCAAAGCACTTCTTCGCCCCGCGCACTCTGCTCTCCTCCGCCTCATTGGCCTCGCTCCCCCAGGCGCGCCTTGATTCAGGGGTTGCTTCTCTCAAGCCTTTCCGCATCTCTGCAGGTTAAGGGGTTGTGTTAGAATATCTCCTCTCTTGTAACCTGCATATATGCTATAGGATAGGCTAGAGATAAGCACCCAAACTTAGTTTGGGTGTACAAGCAGGGGTTACCCAATTTGTAGGTTGGAAACCCAACCTTGGTCCAATTATTGGACCCCAAGGGTTGGGATGGGTAGAATTATTGGTCCCCTCCAATAATGTTGGCCCAACTCCAACTTGGCCAACATTATTGGACCCCACCAATAATCTCCCAACCCAACTCCTTGGTTGGGGTCCAATAATGTTCACCTAGGCTAGTTTCCAACCCATCTCCTATGTAAACCCCCCATCCTTTTCAATCAATCCATCAACTTCTCTTCTAACTTTTCTTCTCACAGATGCGCCTCTGCTGCTGCCTGCCCGCGCGCCCCTCAACTGCTCTCAGTCTAGAAATACCTCCTCTCGCCCATCTTCGCCCTCCTCCCCCCCTCCTTCCCCCCTCCCCCTCTCCCCCCCTTCCCCCTTCTCCCCTCTCCCCTTCAACACCCAATGTCCCTCAGGTTCGGCGATTTGATTCGCTGCCACGGCCCTGCCTGTCCCGCTTTCGCCCCTTGCGGACCCCCCTACCCCAACGTGCACGCGTGTTGGAATCAGCACTTCGACGCGCCTATGCTGCTGTCTTTCCATGTGCCTCTCAACTGCCACAAGACGTGATGAACCTAGAAAAACAGCCTCCTCCTCCTCCATTCCTTCCCCCCTCCCCTCCCCTCCTCCCCTCCCCTTCCTCCCCGCTCCTCCCCCCACCCCTCTCAGGTTTGGCGATCTGATTCGCTGTCACGGCCCTCCCTGTCCTGAATTCACCTCTTGGGGCTCAGCCTACCTCAACGTGCGTGCGTGCTGGAACTCCCTCCTCGACTCGCCTCTGCTGCTGCCCGCGCGCCCCTCAACTGCCCGAACATGGGTTCAGCCTGTGAAAACAGCCTCCTCCTCCATCCCCCATCCCCCATCCATCCTCCCACCCCCCATCTCCCCCCCCCCCCACCTCCCTTTCTCCCCCATCTCGCCCCACCCCTCTCAGGTTTGGCGATCTGATTCGCTGTCACGGCCCTCCCTGTCCTCAATTCACCTCTTGTGGCCCAGCCTACCCCAACGTGCATGCGTGCTGGAACCCTCTCCTTGACGCGCCTCTGCTGATGCCCGCCCGCGCGCCCCTCAACTGCCCCAACCCAAGACGTGTTGAGCCTAGAAAAACAGCATCCTCCTCCTCCGTTGTTCCTCCCTCCCCTCCTCCTCTCTCCCTTCCTCCCCCACCCCTCTTAGGTTCGGCGATCTGATTCGCTGCCACGGCCCCACCTGTCCCGCCTTCGTCCCCTGCGGTTCTGCCTACCCCAACGTGCATGCGTGCTGGAACCCCCTCCTCGACGCGCCTCAATTGATGCCTGCCCGCGCGCCCCTCAACTGCCCGAAGAAGGCCCACCTCAAGAAGCCGCGGGTTCCGTGGCAGAACCACGACAAGACGTGCTCCCACCCCAGGGACTTCAACCCCCGAGAGCCCTCCGCCATGCAGGTGGGTGTGCAGCCTGCTTGAATGGTAGGTGTGAGTCTGAGTTATTGTGTGGCAGAACCACGACAAGACGTGCTCTCACCAGAGGGACTTCAACCACAGAGAGCCTTCCGCCATGCAGGTGCGTGTGTTGGCGCTGGTGCGTGCTGTTGGGAAAAGCGTGAGTGCTTGCCAGGGGTAACAGACAGAGCCATGACAGCATGCCCGCGTGACCCTCATCTGCCACAAGAAGATTCCCCTCAAGGAGCCGCGGGTTCCGTGGCAGAACCACGACAAGACGTGCTCTCACCAGAGGGACTTCAACCACAGAGAGCCTTCCGCCATGCAGGTGGGTGTGTTTGGGGAGGTCCGTGTCGTTAACCGTTGCGGGACAGACAGTACCAGGACGGGAGGCCCGCGCGCCCCTCAACTGCCCCAGGAAGGTCAACCTCAAGACCTTCAACCCCAGAGAGCCGTCCGCCATGCAGGTGCGTGTCTATAGAAGAGAACAATGGCAGGCAGGCACATGCATGGTGGACGATGTACACCATGCATGTGCCTGCCATGTACCTGGCAGGCACATGGCAGGCTGGCAGGCTGGCGCCTGCATGCACTTCATCTGCTCCTGGTCATGGTGTTCATAAGAGCTTTGTCGCATCATCATGGGGCTGATCTCATCCCCATGCCCCGTGCCCCATGCCCCGTGCCCCATGCCCCGTGCCCCATGCCCCGTGCCCCATGCCCCGTGCCCCATGCCCCGTGCCCCATGCCCCGTGCCCCATGCCCCATGCCCCATGCCTCTTGCCCATGTCCCGTGCCCCATGCCCCATGCCTCTTGCCCATGCCCCGTGCCCCATGCCCCATGCCCCATGCCCCATGCCTCTTGCCCATGTCCCGTGCCCCATGCCCCATGCCTCTTGCCCATGTTCCTTGCCCCATGCCCCATGCCCCATGCCTCTTGCCCATGTCCCATGCCCCATGCCCCATGCCTCTTGCCCATGCCCCATGGCCCATGCCTCGTGCCCATGCCATTACCTCATGCATGCATGCCCCATATCCGTACCCCATGCCATGCCCCGTGCCCATGCCCCATACCATCCCATGCCATGCCATGCCCCGTGCCACGTCCCAAGCAGGTGTTTCGCCTGCATGACGTCATGGTGTCCCACAAGGGCTTTGTCTTCAATGCCACTCACCGCTTCGTGCACCAGGGCTGCAAGCGATTCAACCCGGTGAGCAGCTGAGTCATCATGAGTCCCATTAACTTGAGTCAACGACGCAACATCTTGACCAGAAAGAGCCCTTGTGACCGCGGACCCCCAAAAGGCCTTTGTATGTAGTGCCACTCACCAATCGTGCACCAGGGTTGCTAATGATTCAACCTGGAGAAATAGGATCGCTGTGGGGACAGTTTTGTTCAGTTTCCTCCTCTCGCTCCCTTCCCTCTTCCACCCTTTCCCTCCTCTCCTCCCTTCACTGTCAATCCAACAGTGCTCGTATCCAGGGGCAGAAGTTGCACCAGATTCAATTTGAGGCTATCCTCTCCCTTCTCCACCCCTCGTTCTATCATCTCCCTCAACTAGCTCTCCTATCCTCACCAGGATAAAAGAAAAAGTGCAGGTTACTCGCATGGCCCCAACGTCACCTCTTCCTTCTTTGAGGAGGGTATCATTCCATCTCCTGTTGATAAAAGTTGAGTTTTGAGATGTCTCGAAACATTTTGAGGCGCCTCAAAATGCATCTCACTACTTTGAGGCGCCTCAAAATGCATCTCACTACTTTGAGGCGCCTCAAAATGCATCTCACTACTTTGAGGCGCCTCAAATTGATAAAAGTTAAGTTTTGAGATGTCTACTCGGATGTCTCGAAACTCAACTTTTTTCACGTGACTACTCGCATGGCCCCAACCCTCACGTCTTCCTTGTGGAG